GTCCTCTCTACTCCTAAACAGGATTTATAAAGTGTGACTTTGAGCAATATAGCAAAGTCAGTTTTATCTGCAGGAAAATATTTTTCTTTACTAACATTTTAAAATCCCTTCCTCAGTGCTCCAAAATGATTGAAACGCTAATCAATGACAAAATTCCAAATCCCACTAAAGACAAAGAACTGAGAAAGGGAGCAGAACCACTTTCATCAGTAAAGTGGTTGCTGCGACCTAATAACCCCTAGAGATTATTGACACTTTTTTTTTTTTTTAAAGATGCTGTTGTTTGGTCATATGTCTTTGGCAGCAAAAGCGTACACAATCGCTTTTGCTTTTCACAAATTAATTCATTTAGGCCTGTGCATTTGTCAGGCATTCCGGGAACTTTCTGCCAACGTTTTGCTGATTAAAGGATGTGTATCTGAAAACTGGGTGGAGAGGAAGGAATTATAATTCTTAAAACCAAAGAATAATTTATAATGCTGACTGCTACCTGAATCAATCAGTAGACCATCAACAGATAAATGAAATACTAAAGGTAAGGAAGAGTTCCCATGCTGGGTGTTAAAATCTGTAGATTGATTGCTTCAGTAACACTGAGAAAGCCTACCGCTTTCAGCAGAATTTCTAGAATTTACAAATAAGAATATGACAAAGAAAACTGCCTTTTACTATTTTTTTCAAAAAGCTTCTGAAATTCATCCTTTCTCTACAAGTCTGGTGCTTCTACTCCTAATTATAAATTACATATCTCATTTCAGTGCTCACAAGTTCCCTATCCTCATCCCAACTTCCGCTGGCTTTTGACTGTTTTGTTGATATTTTCCCAGTGAATTTGTTGGGCCTTTTGGAGGACACGTTTATTGTTTTAAGCACCGTGCAATTTACTAAATGGCGTTCTGGTTATGGAAATGCTCACAAAGAGCCGTGGGGGGATAAAGAATTAAGTAAACACATATTGATCATCCTGTAGCTGAGCTTTCTTATTTGATCAGTCAAGGACTCAGTCTGAGCTAGTCTTTCTAATCTGTGATACATAAAGCTGGAGACATTCTTCTGGCTCCCCAGTGGTTTTAAAGGCTATGCAATGGGAAAAACTGCTTTAAACAAAGTCTCATTTTTGAAAAGGCCTGAGTACAGAATGGAATTCAAAGAATTTGGAGAGAGGGGAGGTGAAAGTGGTAGCAAACAGCTTTAAAAAGGCCCTGGGAATTTTAAGAGAAGAAGGCACATAAGGGAAGTAAAGAGAAATCCCAACTGACCCATTATGATATAGACCAGGAAGCCACTTCACAAGCATGTATTGAACACCTACTGTGCGCAGGGCTTGTAAAAGAGGGTGAGCTTGAGTTTTGTGAAGATTCCAAGAAGCGAAACACAATATGTTAGGAAGTAAGTCATAGTTTTTCATGCCAGCAAGGAAACTTGAGCTTTATGTAGATATTAAATTTCAAAAGGCAATGAATATATTCCATTTAATCCAAATACCAGGAAAAGAAAGTATTCTCTTCTATAATTCATTTTAAAATTCTACATTAAAAATGTTGATACTAAAGTAATACTAAGAATAATTGAGAGAAAATGGTTTTCTTCGTTTCCTTTTCTTTTTTTTCTTTTCTTTTCTTTTTTTTGGTCTTTTTTTTTTGAGAGGAGAATGGTTCTGTCTCCATGCTGGAATGCAGTGGCACAGTCTTGGCTCACTACAACCTCCGACTCCCCTGGTTCAAGCAATTCTCCTGCCTCAGTCTCCTGAGTAGCTAGGATTACAGGCATGCGCAACCAAGCCCAGCTAATTTTTGTATATTTTGTATTTTTAATAGAGATGGGGTTTCACCATGTTGGCCAGGATGGTCTCGATCTCCTGACCTTGTAATCCACCTGCCGCAGCCTCCCAAAGTGTTGGGATTACAGGCGTGAGCCACGAAACCTGGGCAAAAAATGTTTATTTCAAAGAAGAAATCTAGAGGCTCTGTGTTTTGCTCCTGTCATGTTTACTCTTTCCCTTCTGCATTTCTTAATTATTGGTCAATGTGTGTTTGCATTGCGTAATTTTCATTCTATTTTATTTTTCTGAGACTGGGTCTTGCTCTGTTGCCCAGGCTGGAGTATAGTGGTGCCGTCACGGCTCACTCCAGCCTCAGCCTCCAGGGTTCAAGTGAACCTCCCACCTCAGCCTCCCTGGTAGCTGAGACCATAGGCACATGGCACCACGCCCAGCTAATTTTTGTATTTTTTGTAGAGATGGGGTTTTGCCACATGTTGCTGGTCTCGAGCTCCTGGGCTCAAGTGGCCCACCCATCTCAGCCTCCCAAAATGCTAGAATTATAGGCATGAACCATAGTGCCAGTCTGGATAATTTTCTTATCCCCAGCCTACCCTGCCTTCCCAATGAATAAGGGCAAAAAAAGATGAAACATGACAGAAAGCTTGAAGCCCTCCACATAGGAGATGGTACGGACTCTGGCTGAGAGAAGCAATGGGAATTAAAGAAAAGGATGATTCCAGGAGGCTGTCTGAGATTTCAGTGGTTGACTATATTCTGAGATTTAGAATTAAGAAGCAGATAAAGCTAACAGCAAGTTTTCTAGCACGGAGACGGGCAGAACAATAGCAATATTGAACCATATGGGATAATTGTGTTGGGTGGCTGATGTGGGGAACTGGGAATGAGAGAACAGGTGCAACGAGTTGAATTTGATACATTGAATCTAAAGCACATTGTCTTATAAACAATGGGAAATAGAGACTGATCAAATTTAAAATCCTGGAAGGTGTAAAACAGGTTACTATTGGAAGAAATGAGGCCAGGTACCACTAAAACTGGGCCTTCTTTCTCTATATGCTAGGCGCTGTCTTTATTCCCTTTTTATTATATATATATATAGTAGCCTAAATATTTCTCAAGCACCTACTGTATACCAGTCACTAGGCTAGGTGCTACTCATGTATGGGTTTGACACATTCTCTGCTCTCAGGAAATACACAGATTAGTGCTAGAGGCAAGCATTAAATAAGTAAGCCAAAAATAATTAAATAAGACCAAATATGCTGAGAGCTGTGGAGGTAACTAACAGAGTGTTGTAGGATGATACTTAATTTGAAATCAGAAGGACGGATTAGAGCTAGCTGAGTAAAATGGGGCCGAGAATGGGAAGGGTGAACAGTTGGGAGTACCACTGCATCTGGTCTGAGAAGCGATAGGAGTAAAAGTCTCATAACAAACCATGTGGAGCTTTCAGGACTTTTCAGTAAGTTTAGTGGGAAGCCACTGCAGGATTCTTCCTAAAAAGTTTAGCTGTCTGTGAAGGCTACGATCAGCTGTATTTCTAGGATATCTCCTTATTTACCCAGACCCGACAGACCTGCCATTTTCGGCAGCACCAGAAATTTTGGATGAAAAGACATACTATTTTCATGTTGAATATGTTTCTTGAGGTTTTTTAAAGAATGAAACTGTAGAGGCTCAAAGTACATTTTTCCTTTAGATTATTCCTTACCTTTGTGCCATGGCACAAAATGTTTTAGAGTTTGACCTCATCTTCATCTTCAAGTTAGAACCCAGCCAGCTTCCCCACTGGAATCTTGAGAAAAGTGCTCGTTATGTTTTTCGGTAACATTTGGGGTCACAACTGAGAAAATCTGGCATAGTTATATGGGTTAATATTATTACAAAACAGATACAAACCATAAGTATTAACTATTGTATACTTGCTAATTTCTGGGAACCGTTTTGCTTGCATTAACTCAACTTTTTGTAAAAAAATGTCTTATAACTTCAGAGAGTACCATTACCTCCTTCATATTAATGAGAATGCCGCTTCTCAGAGAGGTTAAGGCACCGCTTAAAGGTCACATAGCCAATAAGAGACACAGCAGGGACTCCACCTAGACAGTGAGTGTTAGTTGAGAACTTTTAAAGATACGCCTGCATAAAAAAAGAAATAAGGATAATGAGTAAATATAGCTATGAATTCTGATACATATAATTTTAAAAACCCTCACATTGTATATTCCAATATTCTGTGAGTCATTTTATCATTTTACTTTTGCCATCTAATGATTTAAACAAATTAAAATAATTAAATTTAAATAGTAATGAATTGAATAGTAATGAATTAAAATGGTGGTTCTCTGAGGGAGGGATTCCTTCTAGAACCGGGGAGCATTAGGCAATGTCCGGGAATATTTTTTGGTGATCATTTCCGGGGAATGGGCACTACTAGAATCTGGGGGATAGAGGCAAAGGATGCCACCAGACATCCTACAATGAACAAGGACAGTGCCCACGACAAAGAAGTATCCCGTCTAAGTGGTTCATAGTGCCTAGGTTGAGACCCTGGATTAGAGTAATTTAAAGAGGATCTTGAAGATAGGGAATGAATGGTAGCTCCATCTTGCAAACAAAGAACATTCAACATAAAGAAACAATTTTGGAAATGGGAAAAAGAGCTGAGATGGAGTCATTCATTCAGTCAGTCATAGAATCACTATTTATAGAAAGATTTCTGTGTATTAGGAATTGTGCTGAACAGTGACGTTGAGGATAGCAATAGGAGGGAGTTTCTTTGGAGAAAGGAGGGAACAAAGTAATAGAGAGAAATCAAAGGTGCTTGGCTGCTAAAGGTAAGCCAGTCAGAGTTCATTGCCAAAAGTGACTGTTTCCTTTCATTAGGGAGGAAGATACCCTACTTTACCATTCTAAGGAGAGTCACTGTAGTCAGCGGCAAGTTCAAATGCCATATGCAATGCCAGGAGCACCTGGTAACTTCTTTTTGTCCCATTTAGGGCTGCCTGATGCTGATCTGAATGAAGAGTCAGAGGGGGATGAAAAAAAGCAAACGATATTCTTGAATGCAGCACGGAGTAGTGATGTCAATGTTTGTGTGTATATAGGAGTGTGTATCAGAGAGGACACATAGCTTACATTGATTTCGAGTCGTGCTGCTGGTCTGTGAATAGGTGCTGGCTTTTGTTTTTCCAGTAACAGCTTTTTCTGTTTCCAGCAGTCCTATGCACCAGCTCCCCACCCCATGGCTCCTCCCAGCCCCAGCACAAACAGCAGCAGCAACAACAGCAGCAACAACAGCAGCGGGGAACAGTTGAGTAAAACCAACCTGTACATTCGAGGCCTCCCACCAGGCACCACTGACCAGGACCTAATCAAGCTGTGCCAACCGTAAGTCTCCTTCTGCTGCCTGTGCTGTTTCTCACTCACATGCTTCCCTTGGCGGGCAGGATGTGTTATAACAGTCAGTGTACTCACCCACCGGTGTCTCGGTGAGGAAGACTCTTCTTTACAAACAGGACTGAAATTTGAGATTCGAAGCTAGTTTATTTTGGGGAGTGGAATTTGTTTACTTTGTGTCATTGAGTAGAAGCTCTTGAGCAAATATACATGGAAATGCTGGCTGATGCATAGATAGTTGACCTGTAAGCTGAAGATCATGAATAGAGTTCCTCTCTGAAACCATGTGGCCAGTGGAGTCGATGGTGAGTCTCATGAAATAAGCAGATTTTCTTGAGAAGTATTAGTGAAGGGAATCTCAAAAACACAGAAGTCTCTTGTGTTACAAAGCTTTTCTGGCCAGTGTTTGGTAAATGTGTATTCAGCCAGGACCATGCATTTGGAGAAGCATAAGGCTAATTCTCTAGTTTCCTTAAAAACATCTACTACTAAGTTGAGTGAAGCTATCGCCTACCAAGGCCAAGGACCACACTTACTGAGTAGTTTTATATCTGCTTGGAAGTTTGGAAATGATTAAAGCTCTTCAAAAATATTTTCATGAATCTGTTGTCTACCAACACTTATGTCATTAGTTCTCTTATTTCTATGCAAATAAACACATATTTAAGTTCATTTTCCCATAAAATTAATAATGAATTAAGAATCATAGACCTATATTTTTAGGTTAGAATCTGATTCCTTTCAAAGTAATATTAGAACATGTATTTGTCATTTTATTATGACTTAGCCGTGTATTTTTAAATTAAAACTATTGCTCAATTGTTATTTTTCTCTTTTGCAATTTCTTTTTTTTTTTTTTAAAAAAAAAGCTGTGAGGATATTTATTTTGTAAATGTTCTGACCTCTAAAATATTGAAAGAGGAAAACAAAACAGACAATATTTATTTTCCTTTGTCCTAGATTTAAGATTGTGAGTACATATCAACACAGCAGAAAGTGGCAGATAAACTGAAATACAAATACGTAACTATCTAATTGTTTGACAAAACAGTAGGTAGGTTAGGGTGGGAGTAATGGTAGGATCTCAGCTCACTATAGCCTCCGCCTCCTGGGTTCAAATGATTCTCCTGCCTCAGCCTTTCGAGTAGCTTGGATTACAGGCGCCTGCCACCACGCCCAGTTAATTTTTAAATTTTTTTAGTAGAGACGGGGTTTCACCATGTTAGCCAGGCTGGTCTCGAACTCCTGACCTCAGGTGATCTGCCCGAAAAAGCAAGGCAGAACCTTGAAAGAGAAATATATATATTTTTAAAATTTTTTCAAAGGATGTTAAATATGCCAGAGCAAAGACATACAAATATATGTTAGATTTTGGTCTATAGAATATTAAGGTTGGGAATCAGAAGATAAATAACTCAACTTTTTCTTTTGTTGTTTAAAAATTCTAAACTATATTTTGAAAAGCAAGGTCTTTGAAAATGTGGAAGATTGTAGATGTTATGATAGAAGGTTTGGATGAAGTGAAAAGAAATCTTATTTAAAAAATCTAAACTATATTTTACAAAGCAAGGCCTCTGAAAATGTGAAAGACTGTAGGCTTTATGATAGAAGGTTCAGATGATGTAAAAAGAAAACTAGCTATTGTCCTTGATTTATATTTGAAACTCTTTTTTTTTAAAGGTAGCTATTAGGGAAAGGTTCTTTCTTACTGCAGTTTTCCACTTGTAGAGCCTGTGGAAAACAAAGATGTCTCGCCCCAAGGAATTAAGATTCACCAAGTCTGGGGTACAGCCCCAAAATACGCATTTTAAACAGGATCGTTACTATTGATCTTTTGTGAAGCACTTCCTCAACGGTATTTTTTTTTTTTTTTTTTTTTTTT